CCCCCCACCCCGTCCTGTCAATTTTGTACAAGACAATTATTTTCAGCAAAAATTGATTCGTTAATTTTTTTCAAATTGGGATAGGTTAAAGCAACTTCTGGGCCGAGCGCTCCGGCTTGAAGTGGTTAAGGGCCTGAGTGCTGAAGCTAGGACAGACTAGGGGTCCGAGTGCTTAGGACAAGTTAGGGAGCCGCGGCTAGGACAGGCTAGGGGGCCGGGCGCTGCGGCCACATGATTAATCATATCCATGTTTTACAAACGAGATCCATGTACAAAATTGATAGGAGGAGGGGGAAGGGGGAGGGGAAAGTGAAAAAATCGTTCTATAGGAAATTTCCAGAAAAGCTTCATTAGGAAATATATAATTCGAAACTTAATGCATGAATAGACGGCTTAGCAGGAGTAACGGATACAATTACATATGCGGCTTAAATCCCGGCTTTGATGTTAAAATTTAAAATTAAATTGATAGGTATTGGCATCTCTAAGCAGCTAAATGAGTTAAATTATCTATTTTTGGCATCAATGTCGTTAACCATGTGCCATAAATCATGTCACTTTCACTCGGAATAAGCAAATAATTTACAATTTCACAACAACCAAATAGAAATCACAAAATCACTGATATTATTGATAGAATTCCACGTAATTCCATCCTTCATAAATTAAAAGAATAAATCCCATAGATTCGCGCAGTGTTTCACTCATGTACCGGATACAGAATGCTGATAATGCGCAAATGCTCCGAGAGTTCCTGTCCAAACTTTGCCTTGGTCGTCTTTGCTTAGAACAAGTTCCATATCCGGTGAAACAGAAGAAATGTCTAAAATCAAAAAGTTCACTTAAACTATAACAGATAAATATATATTTTCGGGGAAATATTGCATACAGGCATTTATTCCTGAATATTAAATCAATCCGACAAAAATGTTACGATTGATCATAAAAATATTTATATTCGAAGCGCCACCGACCCTGTAGCTACTATCTACTGTCCAAGATTGTGTATCTTTCGACCTACGCAAATCCGCTATACTTCACTTCTGGCCTACGCCAAATCCGCTATACTACACTTCCGACTTACTAGCACGTGGTTTTATCTGAAGTTATACATCTGGTCGTTATAAGCTGCACCCAGCCCCGGAGCCTGTCCTTATAGCCGCGGCGCTCGGCCCAGAAATTGCACTAAACCTAACGTAACCCTCGAATAATAGAAAATAAAACAGCTTTCGTAGGTCCGATATTGCAGTAGGTCGGAAGTTTAGTAGACCGAGGATACTGCATGACAATGTAACAATTTACCAGGGGCCGGTCCTTCTATAGATAGTGGACGTGTAGTTCACGTATATTTTGGAGGACGATAATTTGGCCGCTAGATGTCTCCCGTGAGTTATTCATGGACGGACAGAGTTCCTCACGCCATACGGTATCTGGATCATAGCCGTGCTGTAGCCGTACCGTGGCCATGATTTATTTGAGAAAAGGTGGCAGCACTAATCAAAGTAGCTTTCTGATTTCATTTCATAAATTGATTGCAGTGTCTTGTTTTTAAGATCCAATATGAATTTGAAATTAAATCAAAGTACAATTTCTTATGTTTAAGATAGTTTGCTATATCGTTCAATTCAAATCAAATTCGTAATAAGCTTTCCCTTTTTTCCCGTCGATAGGGGTCGCATATGTATGTGTTTATGCATGTCGGACAATACTCGGACACTGATAACTCATGGAAGAACGCGTTTGAACAAAACACTATTTCTCCGTACATTTCACGACCAATTATAGGAGACGTCAAGTTGTCGACCAATGTAGTTTATGGAAGGAACGGCCTCAGGAGTGTACGAGCTGGGAGGGCTGTCCGGGCCCCCCCCCCCCCCCCCCTACACGTGCCCCCCTAAGAGCTCTTAGGGCACCCATATAAAAATACTTTAAAATCTCACTTTGACCTCAAAGTTTCATTAAAAAATCTTTAGTCAATACTGCACCAATTGTGAAAATATACCTTTGATATCATTATTTATAATTTAACAATCTATATATAAATTTGGCTTGTCTGTTTGTCTGTTTGTCTGGGTGTCTGTTTGTTTGTTTGTATCCAATAAACGTCAAAACGACTGAACCGTTCGGGCCCAAATGTTTTGTGGGACATCACATGACCACAGGGAAGGTTTATGAAGGAAATTTTTTTTTTTTTAAATTTGTTTTAAAGGTTTTTAATTTTGTAAAAAAAAAAAAATTCTTGAAAATCCGCGAATTTTTTTTAAAAATCTGCAAAAAATTTTTTCTTCTTTGTTTTAAAATGTAAATAAAAAGGACATGTTCACAATTTAAATAGAAGATGGGCGTGAAGCGCCCTAAAAGCTTAGTGTGTTATAAACCGAATTGCTATTCATGTAAAACTAATTAGATTTGTTTTAATATGCTTTGATATTTGTTGTGTACATGTCAGAAAACTACTTTAAACTCTAGTTATTCGAATTAATGTATAAACTATTTTGCATAAGATAAAATCGCACCCTGATCTCTATAAATAGTTCTCCTTTAATCTATTTAATTAAAATGTTTTGTTATCATTATTAGAATTTTAGGTGGAAGCTATCTTCCAATTATGACCTAATTGCTTTATATTTGTACTGTTATAATAATATAATCATCAATTTGTAATTGTAAACTCGTTCTGTACACAGCTACATGTATTTTAGCGCAATATAAAGCAATAAACTTTATCTCTTCTTATCTTATATCTTAAGCCACATTAAGAGGAAGTGTCTGATAAGTCCACTTAATTACATAAATAATCTATTAACACTTGTAATATGGAAGTGTGTTTATGATCGAATAGTTTACATGGTTAAAAAAGATATCAATATTTTTTCAAAAAATATTGTAAAAATTCAAAAATTATGTAAAGCATTAATGCATGCTTATAAATGGTATCTACAAATAAATCTTTGGTGGTATGTAATTGTATAGCATGTATTTATCAATGTAGAAAATAGTAAGTATAAAATTTTGATCTTTAAAATTTGCTTCACATTAAGAAAGTATAGTGTACGTCATAATTTGTTAATGTTAATAACAAAACAAAATAATGCAATCAAAATTTCAATTTTGAAAATCTAAATTTTACTTTCTGGAAAATTTTATAATCTTTCTAAGCATGCTGAAGTGCTGACGGAGCTGATGCATGATGCAAACTTTTAACTGCCGTGTATACGGTTATTAGCAGAAAACAATGGAATAGGAATACGACATTAATGCAATACCAAAGCTGGTACAAAGCAAACAGTTTAACAAGACACTTAATAAATTAAAAATATAATAAATTTAGTCTGTTAACACTGCACGACTGCCTTGTCTCATGCTCATTGGACTTTTTAAAGTTATACCTTGATTCTAAAAGTCGTCTTCCTATTTACAAGTTTTCTGGTTATCACTGTATACTGTAAATTTATTATTCCTCGATTGATTGATTAAAAATTCTAAAGTGCGCATGCGTAGAGCTCTAGATTCCTGAGTGA